TGGTAGCCCCCAACAAGATCTTACTGATGGTTGAGTCAAAACTGGCTAATGGAATACTGATCTGCCACACAAAAATGCGCCGAAGTCCCTTCGATCTCACACGAGGACTTTGATCATTTTTCCAAAGAATTCTCCAGTTTTCTATTTAAGTTTATACAAACACCGTCGTCGTCGGACGGTGCAAAGAGCGGTTCCGGTTGGCGCTTAGTACCTACCTATCCTTTGAGATTGGCCGGTGCCATAGAAGCGCTTCATGCACTCTCCGCCGCCGCCCAAGAAAAGATTAGCTGAACCCCGCAAGTGACTGAAGAGCAACCTGTGAAGAGGAGCAGGCGAAAAAAGAAGAAGCGGTCACCCTCCCCGCTATACCCAGTCGTAGTCGTAAGAAACGGTCACGACTCCCTCAAGGCTTCGAGAGCCAACCCAAGTAACACCCGTTTCGTACGAAAACATCAATTTAAGGTCTGTTCCAGCGCTTCGAAGCGACGCTGGTCCCGGGAAAAGAGCCGTTTCGATGCGAAGCGAACGCGAACACATTAAGGGTGTAATCCAGTAGTACAACATTTAAACCTCTCGCCAAGAAAGATTGCCGGTCATAGAACACTTGATGCCGGTTTACAATCTATGTTTTTCTAAAGATGTGAGTGACTTCCGGGATAGTATCGTGTCAATGTTGAACAAAAAGACTTTTCGTTCAACATTGGCACGATCATATTCCGGAAGGCGCTCGCATCTTAAGAAAAACAAAGATTGGAAATCGACACAAGGTGTGCTATGACCGGCAATCTTTCCTGGCGAGAGTTATATGCGAAAATAGTGCAATTTATATTTCGTCTCAATTCTGTAAAACATGAGATGAAGGACGGTGTTAATTTTTTTCGTGTAAATTACACACTTAAAAAGTATGCTACAGAACAAAATTTTAATATTTAAGAAAAAACAATTTTTTAGAGCACTGCCAATAAAAAGTGAACTTTTATAGGTAAAATGGCGTCAACACAAATTATTTTAAAAATCTCCCTGTAGCATACTCAGAAAAAAACATTAGCAAACCATACAGCCATCGACCAAACTTGCAAATAAATTACAAAAAATTTTAGACGAAATATTCATTCGAAATTTTTTACGAAAACTTGTAGCGTTTAGTGAAGTCATTCGCCATTTATAAATGTACAGTAGGCAACACATCATACGGCAGGCCTGACTTCATTAACGGCATTGTTGTGTTTATCGGGACTAATTTACAAATAGAAACCGGATTCATTAGAACGTATTGTAACGTTATTTATAAATTCGGGTTCGATTTATATCAATATTTATTAAACAAAACTAAACACTATAAAAACTGTACAATTTATATCGA